GGTGCGCTGCGCGGGGGCGGCGGCGAGTTGGGGCAGCGGGACAGTGCAGGGCAGAACGGGTGCCCGCTGTTAGGGGCTCTGTGAGCAACTTTCCTCTTTCCTCCTGTTTGCAAGGGTTGTGGCAGCGGTGTAGTTGGCTGCTCTCTTTTAACCTGGTGGGTATGTTTTTCCTTCCCTGGGGTGGATTAGTAGATGGTTGTATTGTGATGGGGGCAGTGTTTTCTGAGACTTAGGGAAAAGATGCTGTGAATGTCTAGAAAAGACACTAGCACCCTGTCACTGCCTGCTTAGCAGTTTGACTCCACGCAGCTGTCCTTGGGTGCTGCTGTGAGAGCAGTTGAGGCCATAGCAAGTCCTGGGCGACAGCCAGTGCTGCTGTTGTGCTTGAGTACCCAGCAGGACGCTTCTGTTTGCAGGCACCCCGTCCATCTACAGGCCCTCACAAGCTGAGGGAGTGTCTTCCACTCATCATCTTCCTGCGGAACAGGCTGAAGTATGCCCTGACAGGAGATGAGGTCAAGAAGATCTGCATGCAGAGGTTCATCAAGATAGATGGCAAAGTCCGTACAGACATCACCTACCCTGCAGGCTTCATGGGTGAGCTGAGGAGGGCTGGGGGACGTACTTCAGGCAGTTCTGCTGCCCTGAATGGGGATGTTTGGTGAGGCTGGCAAAATTTGGGGGAAAACGTGCTTTCCCTGTGGAGTTGAAGAAAAGGTAAGTATAAGCAATTGTTATTTAGGTTGAAGCTGTGCACTGCAATGAATAAGCCAGAGATCAGTAACCTATAACTGCCTGCTCACATATGCATAAGTTGCTGCTCACATATGCATAAGTTGCTGTTCACATTTCAGCCTTTGGCAGTTCTTACTAATTTGCACTGTATCACAGTAAAAGATGTGAGCCTGTCATCAGGAGGAGATCCCAGCCTCATGCCACACCTGAAGCATTGTTCAGCAATCCCTACTGCTTTTCAAACGTGACCTTCATGCTGAGTTACCCTGCTAGGTGTAGCTGGTAACAGCTGCTGTTTTGTTTCCCTCTCTGGACTTAGATGTCATCAGCATTGAGAAGACATGCGAGCATTTCCGCCTGGTGTACGACACCAAGGGCCGCTTTGCTGTTCACCGCATCACACCTGAGGAGGCCAAGGTGAGGGGCTGCAGCATAAACGTGGGTCCAGCTGGCTTTGGTCAGGGCTGTGGCTCCTTGGCTGCTCATGAACGGGAGCTGTTGGCTCTCTTAACCTGAGAGCTGAGTCCATGCCACCCTTGAGAAGATCAGAGTTGTAAGGGTTGGAATATGAAGTCTTTGGTGGTTGGAAGTCTTCTGATGGCATGAGAGCAAGTCCCAGATGATTGCAGGTGCATTGTCTGATGCTTTCAACAACTGCTATTGGCTTGGGTTGGGTTACCTTCTGAGGAAGTTTTGGGGCGGGTGTGGCTCTGCTGTGGCGTGTGTCATAGCATAGGGCTCTGCAAGCCAGCAGTGATCAGAGACACGGTTCTGCCTGTGGTACTGAAACCTTGATCTTGGCTCTTCTATGGAAGTGTTTACAAAACTGCCCTCTGGCCCTGGATGTCAGGGAGTGGCTCCTGGATGTATTTCCTTAACCCAGGCATGTCTGTGTGTTCAAGCTGTGAGTCTGCGCCCCCTTTGCTGTCCCTGAAGGGCAGGCTGTGCAGTGGTGCTGAGGGAGAGCCAGCTGCACTCTGGGCCTGTCTGCCTGCCCATGATGTGCCTTTACCTCTGGCTACCACTGTGCTGACCCATGAGTCCCAAAGTGGCTGTGAAGGAGTTGGGGGTGGAAGGCAGAAGGGAAGCCTGGGTGCCCTGGAGGAGGAAGACAGATAACTCTTGGGTCCTGGAGAAATGCAGCCTCTGCCTTGTTCTGTGTAACCACAGGCTTCAGGGCAAAATGAGGAACTGGCCCTAGCATAGGCATTCTGGAAAAAATGCAGCCAGTGCTTTTGGGGTTGAAGCCCAGGGTGGGCAGGAGTTTTGCAGCAGGGCTGTGGCATAGCTGGGTGGCAGCCTGAGGAGAGGCATGGCCAGGGCTAGGAGCTGGGCGAGTCGCTGACTGGGCTCCTGTTTTGAGCCCTGGAGCATCTGTATATTGTGGTCTGAGGCTGCTGTGGCTGGGACAGGAGTCCCCATGTCCATGGTGTCGCGCACTGCCTCACCTGAGCAGCACTGTGTTTTGTTTGCAGTACAAGCTGTGCAAGGTGAGGAAGATCTTTGTGGGCACCAAAGGAATCCCTCATCTGGTCACCCACGATGCCCGCACCATCCGCTATCCAGACCCCCTTATCAAGGTGAATGATACGGTCCAAATTGACCTGGAGACAGGCAAGATCACAGATTTCATCAAGTTTGACACAGGTAAGCCTTGTGTCCCATGTAGAACACTAATTTTCCCCACCCTAGAGAGCAGCGGGGAAGTTAATTACAAGAGGCTTGGGAAAGGGGTTGTTGCCCTGGGACATCTACCTGGACCTGGAGCAGGGGTTCCTCCCATATGCCAGCAATGGGAGACGTTTGGTGTAGGGACTTGGGGTGATTCCAAGAGCAAGCATGCACCAGGGGGAAGCAGTGAGCTGGTGGACAGGTTGCTTGAGCCTGGCTCTCTTGAAGCTGTGAGCAGAATTCTCTGGACAGCAGTCAGGAGATTGCTGGCTCTTTTCTGTAGCAGAAGGTTTCAGTTGCAGAATCACAAGCAGTGTCAGGACAAATAGTACTGGAGTGCCTCCTTGGTGCTGACATGAGCAATATGGTAGGGCCTTAGGGCCAGAGAGCTGTTGGGCTTCTCAGGGTGTGCCAGGGTTCCTGTGGGACATGTCACCAGGTGCTGCTCTGTGGGTCACTGCGGCTGTGTCCCTGCCTGTCTTCAGTGGTGCTCTTCAGAAAGCCCTAGCAGAAGGGCTTCACTATGGCACCTGGTGCTTAACTCTTGTCACATCCATCTTCCTTCACCCCAGGTAATCTCTGTATGGTGACTGGCGGTGCCAACTTGGGTCGTATTGGGGTGATCACCAACCGGGAGAGACACCCCGGGTCGTTCGACGTGGTTCATGTGAAGGACGCCAATGGCAATAGCTTTGCCACCAGGCTCTCCAACATCTTTGTTATTGGCAAAGTAAGCCTGTGCAGACACAAGGCGGGTGGGCTCTCCTGCCCACTCTGGGAAGGGGAAGCATGTGTAAATTTAGGAATGGGGGGGATGTTTTGAAGAAGCGACCCTTTGTGGTTTTTAAATCTGAGAGCCTGGAGCTGAGCAGTGCTCAGATCTTGAGGGGGCCTGGGCAGCTGCTCTGACTGAAGAGTGCCCTCCCTGCCCAATGCCTGTGCTGTCTTGCCATCCCTGATGGGCTGTCTCGTCTGGATTGGTTAAAGGCGCAGTGTTCTGGGTTTTGGCTGAAGTGCTTTCTTCTTGGGTGTGACTGAAGGAAGTAGATGTTGGCCTGTACAGCTTTGACACCTTCCTGAGGGGCTTCTACTAGGCCAGTTCCATGGCCATGTGTACATGACCCAGCAGGAGCTGGCTTCTGATGCTTTTTCCCTCTGAGGGAGAGCTCTGCACCTGTTGGGGATCCATGATGTGAGGTGGCTTCTTCTCCCTTGCTGCAGGGCAACAAGCCGTGGATCTCCCTGCCCCGTGGAAAGGGCATCCGCCTGACCATTGCTGAGGAGAGGGACAAGAGACTGGCGGCCAAGCAGAGCAGCGGGTGAACGCCAGCTCAGGCCACCGCGGTCCTGTCTGTTAATTAAACCGTTTTACCAAATGGCTTGTGTGACTGGCTGGGGAGCATCCTCAGGCTGGGGGGAGCTGGGCCAAACCAGGGTGAAGCTGCGCTGCTCTCCAGAAGGCCTGCAGATCTGGAGAGACTCCTGGCAGTCTGAGCAGCTGCCAGAGCAATCTTCCTCAAAGGCAAGGAGTGGTGGCTCTCCATCCAGGGGAGCTGGGGTCCTGAGGCGCTGCAGGTGTTTCTGCTGCTATCACATTTGTGCTTTGTGCCAGGTCCTATTGTTCGGTTGCCCGGGTCCCTGGATTGCAGCCACAGCCTTGCCCAGGATCTCCCTACGATGCACTGGGCTGTGAGCAGCAGGGCTGTGGCATGTGCTGCTGTCTGGGGCAGTTGCCTGGCCCTGCTGTGGTCACCTCGAGGAAGATGGGAGAAGCTGGTGCTTTCGCCTCTGCTTGTGCTGCAGGAGTGAGAGGTACAGTGCCCATCTTCCTCAGGAGCTCCAGCCAGGGCAGAAGCTGCTGGCACAGCATCTATGAGCCCCACCAGGTGTCCACTCTCCTTCACTGGGGAACCCAGGCATCTGGGTCTCCTCAAAACAGCCCCCTATACTCAAGATGGATCAAGAGGTTCATGGGTCACCCCATCCCAACAACCCTGCATATGTGCCCCTGCCCCCGAGATTATTTTAGGGTGCCCATGCCATCAGGATGTCTTTCTGGACTCACCTTAGGACCCTAAATACCTCTTGTCTGTGTCTATCCCATTCCCACCACTCTTGAGGACCACATATCCCTTTGGGCTCCTCTCAGCACTCGGAATTCCCCCACTAGACCCCAAATTCCCCAAGTGGATGCCCTCCAGGGCCCCAAATCCCCCCCTAGGACTTCCTCTAGGACCCCAAATCCCGCCAGAGGGATCTCCAGATCTCCACGTGCCCCCAGGATGCTGTTAGCAGGCATTGTCTCTCCCAGAGCAATGACCGGCTGTGGGCGGGAGCTGCTGCGGCTGCAGGTGGAGGAGCAGAGGAAGGTAAAGCACAAGAACTCGCCTTTTTCTTGTTCCCCCTTCTTTGCAGGGCCCCTCGTCCCTGTTCCGGATTTCTCTACCTCTCCGACCTTTTCCTTGTGCCCGTTCTCTCTCGCTGCTCCTCACTCTTCTCCCTTAGATTTCCAGTCCTCCGGGCTGCTGCCCGGGAGCGGGCTGTGCCCACGCGGGGAGCCCGGTGCGTGGGGGAACCCGGTATTTCTGCTTGGTTTGCCTTTATTTTTTTTTTCTTCATTGGAGTGTGGATGGCATGTTGTCCTGTGGCTCCGTCCCCCTTCTGTTCTGTGCAGCCTTCAGGCTGGGACACTTAAGTAGGAAAGTTTGTCTTTCCCAAAAAAGCACGAATGGTCTGTAGCACTGAGGTCGTCCGGGGTCCCATCAGAATTAACTCCGGACTGCGGGGACTGGCGCTGCTGCTGCTGCGGGTCTGTCCGTCCCGGGAACAGCAATCAGTCCGGCGCAGTCATCGGCCCCAGGCTCCTCCGGGGATCCCGGGATCATTGGTCCCCGGGAACATCGGCCGATCCCAGGATCATCGGTAGATCACAGGCTGCTCCCGCCCGGGAAAGGAGCTAAACGGGGAACACGCGGTTGGAACGGAGAGAGAAACGGGCAGAGAGCACCAGGGGCGGCAGCGGGGCCGGGCCGGGCGGGGCCGCCCGCGCCCTCACGCGAGGCCTCGCGC